AAGTGTGAAGTTAATCCCGAAACTAAAATTATATTAGGCCTCAGGTAACTTAAACTCTTGGGATATTTAGTGAATTTAAGAAGGTCCAAAAAGTTAGTGGAAGTTAAAAAACAAACATTACATCGTTTAGGTGAGAAAACATAAATAATTTCGAGAAAAAAATCAGTTATTCAGAAAATAGTTATATTCGTATTGAAGCGATTTTAAGTTTTATTGAATCTATATTGAAAAGTTATGAATTAATATGAAATATTATGTATTTTATTCAGCATTTAGACGTGGTATATCTTTATTGAATCTTAATAAAACCTTTTTGTCGTTCATGAAGCTTCGAAGATTCAGAAGCGTTTGTCTCGTATTTTCTAATCAGTATTCTGAAACTTTTATCCAAAGCTTCATAACTCGACGATTATATCTCTTCAGAGCTTTATATATTCTCGTCTTTATTATGAAGCAGAATAAAGCTCGTAGATATTTCACTTACTTCCATAAGCTTCAGAGACTCAAACTACTAAGAAGCTTCGTATCTTTGCTTCGAATATTCTAACCTGTACTTAAAGGCTTCAGAGAATTCCGAATCTTCGTATCTTTGCTTCTAATATTCTAAATTTATATTCTGAAGCTCCGCGCCTCAATTTGAAAGCCCTCCAGAACTCTAGGCTGGCGTCGTCTCGAGTTTACGGTCAGGACATGAGAGTGGTGTCAGACTTTAACCCGCTAGTGATACCTGGTAGGTGGGGCGTCTGAGGTGGCCATCTGGAGGTGTGTTGTGTCGGGTCATCAGTACTCAGGGAGGCTCAAGTGCTTCTATATTATTCTTGGTGGAAATGTGTGGGTGTTTTTGTGGGAGGGTTTTGGCAGTTCGGTGGTTGGGAAGGGATGTGTGTGTGTGTGTGTGTGTGTGTGTGTGTGTGTGTGTGCATAACTATATTTAATTGGTGTTACCTAACTTCTCAAACTACTGCTACAAACTATATAACACAGTTGACTCTTAAGAATTTTGCCCCAGTCATTACTCTAACACTTAACTCTTTTGACTACGATATCTTGTGTGAACGATGACACACACACACACACACACACACACACACACACACACACACACACACACACACACACACACACACACACACACACACACACACACATACTTATTTTTATTTTTAATTATTTTTTTTTAAGTCCTTGACATTACACCAGCTACCTAACCTAACCTCTTGACCTCTTTACAACGTGGCGGTGGGGGCGGGCCTCCTGGAAGCTGGTGTGGTCGGTGTTGGTGTGTTTATACAAGATGAGGTTCCAACGCCAGGTGCGCTACCCTTATCGGCTTTAAACCCCCGGCGGGTGTACCTGCAGCACTTTCAGGAGCTGAGAGGGGTGGGGGATTAGGAGTGTGGGGGAGGGGGGTGCTGGTGATGAGGAGAGGGAAGGGGTGTTGTTTGTGAGGGGAGAGGGAGATGAAGGAAGGGTACTCTTCTGGGGAGGGAGGGAAGGGGGTGGAGGGGGTTGCTGTCGGGGAGAGAGGAAAAGGGGGTTACTGGGGGAGGGGTGGATGGAGAAGGGGTATGCTGTTTTGGGGGGGAGGGAGATAAGGAGGCTGTTGCTACTGGGGGAGGATGGTGGTGCAGGGGGAAGCGAGGAGGGAGAGGGGGGACACGGTTACAATCTGGTGGTGGTGGTGGTGGTGGTGGTGGTGATCTTTGGGTCATTTCCGCCCGTCTCCCGTATCTCCTGCAGGTGGTGATGGTAGTGATGTATTTCCTGCAGGTGATGGTGATGGTGGTAAGTTATCTCTTGCAGGTGGTGGTGATAAATGCTTTTCCTCCTCTTCAACTGTACTTTGGTATTATCTCTCTCTCTCTCTCTCTCTCTCTCTCTCTCTCTCTCTCTCTCTCTCTCTCTTCTTTTTCTTTTCTTCTTCTCTCTCTCTCTCTCTCTCTCTCTCTCTCTCCCTCTCTCCCCTTCTTTGTCTGTCTGTTTGCCTCTGTCTGTCTGTCCGTCTCTTTTGGTGGTGTCTCTCTCCCTTGATCTGTCTGTCTATCATTCTGTCTATCTATCTTACACACACACACACACACCACGAAGAAAAAAAAAACCTACCATAAAACTGTGGCTCCTGTCCTAATAGCAGAGCTGCGGTTGGACATAAAGAAATGATGGCTCCTGTCATTCACGTGTAGAATTGACCATAAGCCTCCTAGCATCTGTTCCAACATCGTCCTGGGTTCCTTACCGCGTTATGCCCACACTCCCACCAGTGTGTTGATGGCGGCTCTTCTCCTTTCATGACACCCCCGAGGGTTCCACACGTTAGCATCTGATTAACGAGGAACATTTCAACTTTTACGAAAAACCTCCTTCTCGCTCGTTTTGTTCGTTGATTGGAGGGAGTAAGGTTTGGTTGGATGAGAGAGAGAGGTCTTTCTACAGGATAGGTTAGGTTAGGTTAGGTCAGGTCAGTTTGTTGGTCTGTTTGGCCTATGTTGGTGTAGCTTGGTGTGTTGTTGTTGTTGGTGGTGGTGGTAGTAGTATTAGCAGTAGTAGTAGTAGTAGTAGTAGTAGTAGTAGTAGTAGTAGTAGTAGTAGTAGTAGTAGTATTTACCAACTTATTTTCTCAATTAAAATCTAAGTCCATAATGATGATTCATCTATAAACGATTAAGATAATTTTATTTCAAGTTATCATCGACCAGTGTGTTACATGGTTGTGTACCTGATCCTCAACCTAGTGTAGGGTGTCCCAGAAAATGTCCCTTCCAGTCTCTCTCTCTCCCTGCCTCCCTGCCTCCCTCTCTCCCTGCCTCCCTCCCTGCCTGCTCCCTGCCTCCCTCCCTCCCTCCCTACCTGCCTGCCTGCTCCCTGCCTCCCTCCTCCCCTATCTGCCTCCCTGCCTGCTCCTGCCTCCCTCCCTCCCTACCTGCCTCTCTACCTGCTCCCTGCCTCCCTCCTCCCTATCTGCCTCCTGCCTGCTCCTGCCTCCCTCCCTCCCTCCTATCTCCCTCCCTCCCTGCCTACCTCCCTCCTCCCTATCTGCCTCCCTACCTGCTCCCTACCTCCCTCTCTCCTTGCCTCCCCTCCCCTGCCTGCTCCCCTGCCTCCCCTCCTTACCTGCCTTCCTGCCTGCTCCTGCCTCCTCCCTCCCTGCCTGCTCCCTGAGACACTGTGAGTTGGAGGGAGCAGGGGCGGGCAGGAGGGAGGCTAGAGGCACCAGGCAGGGAGGAGGGAGCAGGGGCTGGGCAGGCCTGAGCAGGGAGGAAGGCAGAGGCTGGGCAGCACAGGCAGGGAGACGGGCGAAGGAGCGGGCAGGGCAGGGGCAGGCAGGGAGGGAGGCTGGAGCAGAGGAGGAGGCAGGGAGCAGGCAGGAAGCAGGCGGGGGCGGGCAGAGAGCAGGCAGAGAGGAGGGAAGCAGGCAGGGGCAGGCAGGGAGGGAGGCAGGGACGTATTTCTGAGACTCCTATATATAAAAGAGCAAGACTCTATTACTAAAATCTTTCCTTAAAATATCTTACTTTTTTTTTTATATTAAACTTGGTCTAAATATTCCCTGGTTGTTGATCCTGCGTCAGAAAATATTTATGCTTTTTTCTCGGGGCTCAAATTTTTCAGTACAAAACTTCTCAAAAAAAAAAAAAGCCTTGATACTTTTTTTCGGATTTATATTATTTTATCTTCGTATTATTATTTTGTTTTTTCTCACGAACTAGCGACCTTTAGGATAGGAGTTGAGAGTTGTATCCACTGGACCACCGCACGCTAAAGGAGATTGCTGATGTGTTTTAAATCGACACTTTTGTCTGGTATCTACGAAGAACAGCCGTGTCTCTGCCTTGTTTGAGGGGAGGAGGGGGTAGGGCTGTGCTGGGTGGTGGTACAGTGACATATCTCAACTACTGAAGAATTTAAAACTGAAAATGGTCATTGTTGTTTGTACTTGATGATGGACGTGACTAATTATTTATTGACGTGTGACTAATTTATATAGACGTGTGACTAATTTATATAGACGTGTGACTAATTTATATAGACGTGTGACTAATTTTTTATTGACGTGTGACTAATTTATATTGACGTGTGACTAATTTATATAGACGTGTGACTAATTTATATAGACGTGTGACTAATTTTTTATTGACGTGTGACTAATTTATATTGACGTGTGACTAATTTATATAGACTTGTGACTAATTTATATAGACTTGTGACTAATTTATATAGACGTGTGACTAATTTATATAGACATGTGACTAATTTATATGTACACCTGTGACTAATTTATAAAGAAACACATGTAACTAATTTATATGAACATTTGTGACGAAATTTATGTGGATTAATTTTAATGAACACTTTGATCATGGTGGTTAAAGGCATTTGGTTGGATTATGTTTGAAATGGTTTTGATAATTGATGTAAATGGCATGTGTTTAGAGTGTGTGTGTGTGTGTGTGTGTGTGTGTGTGTGTGTGTGTGTGTGTGTGTGTGTGTGTGTGTGTGTGTGTGTGTGTGTGTAATTATAGTCTTCTTTGTATTTAATTCTTCTCTAGTAATATCATAGTTATAACATATAATTATAATAAACTGAAGTAACAATTTAACGCTTCCTTATTCATGGTTAATATTTATGCTTCTTGCTTGTTATTAATGTAGCTTTGAAATATATATATATATATATATATAGAAATAAACATTGCTTGCTCTCTCCACTAGCAGCCACTGACTAAATTTCACACTTTTTAACTAATCCTAATCTCAGAGGTCCTATTGAGTTAACATTACTTCCTTTGCTAATTTACTAACTCTCATTTCAACTAAATTTCCATCACTACTAAACTACTCACAGGCAAACTAACTTACGATCTCACATTATTTGTAGCTTAAGTTTTTGTTAATATCTTTGATTGAGGATAACGCCAGTGCTTAGCCAGGGAGGGGGTGGGGGGCAGTGGAGAGAGAGAGCTCCTATGAGCCTCTTGTAACGCTAAGGTTCTATTGTTACAGAGTTCAGCGTCTGATTTCCCCTGAGAGTTTGATTGATGAAGATTGGGGAGATCGAGTCGCTGTTTTCTGACCCGAGGAGGAGGTGGTCAGGTGGGGAGGACCCCTGTGAGTTCCTCCTACCGCTGCTGGTGCTGTCATCGTCTCCTCCAGCTCTCCACAAACACTGTCTTCTCCAGTGGGTACAAACTCTGACTGCTGGCTCTGCTGTCGGCACTGGTTGAGGAGGCAGGACGACTGTGATGCCATGTAGGAAACTTGGAACCTTGATGCTGACAGTTAGTGAAACACGTGAACGATACAAAGAGCTGCCTGAAGAAGTAAAACAGACTATCATAGAGACGCAAGATTATTTATTGACCTGTTGTTGGTGACACATGGAGACGGGAGCTGTTCTATAAGTGCATCAGTGAAGGACCAAGACTACACCAACTGGTTGTTACCCTTGAAAGACCTTAAGATCAATAAGTTAGTCCCTGTGGTGACGGTTGTGTGACGTGACTAAAAATGTGGTGATGTTCTGTAGGATATAAAAATAATCACCGTTTTGTGCTGAACTTAAGAGCTGGTGAACGAAAAGTCGAAGTTTTGCTTAACAGACAGTTGTTGACTATAAGACCATTGGTTATATACGAGGGCGTGTGGACGATAATGAGTCGTACTGCTGAGACAACATACAGTAGTCCCTGGTGTAAGACGGAGTAAGTGAGCAGTGTTGGAGTGCAGCCCCGTGAACAGCTTGTAATACACGTTTTCTTACCCGTATTGATAAGCATTTGTTAATATCACTCGGACACATTTGTACTGATTACAACTAATTCCTTTTCTACAATTTTAATATAAAGTTCACAGAAGTAGGACGAATAGTTGGGTGAGGATCATCTAAGGTGTTGTACCGAGTGACGTAACAGTGACTGAAGGCGACTGCTAGAGCTGTGACGAGAATACCTGTAGTATCAGTGCGTCAACTGGTGCAGGTGGTCGTGCAGGTGGACAGGAGACAGCGAGGGCCGCGCCCAAGACTTGCACACCTCCTTGCCTAAGCAGGGGCTTGGGGCCGCTAACTAGGGTGACGGGGATGACTGGGGCGCGCGGGCGTGTGGGCGGCGTGGCAGGGTAGCGGGGTAGCCCAGCATGAGGGAGGCGGCCCCAAGAAGCCCCCCACGCGACCCCGCCCCCGAGACCCCGTTCACGCCCGGCCAGCCTGCCAGACGCCCGCCCGCCGCCCCCTGCCTGCTGCACCATGAGATAGCAGCAGCGGTGGCAGCCGCAGTAGCAGTAGCATCAGCAGCTCTAGCAGAAGCGCCGCCAGACAAGGCAGGACGTCATGAGTAATGTGTATGCGGCGTACGGGCCAGTGCCCACCAGTGTCGGCGTCACAGCCACCCCCAGACTTAATGGCTCCCTCGACAGGCGGGCCCTGGCGAGCCGCTCAGCCGCACTGGGCCGCTCCGCCACACTGGGCCGCCACAACAATGGGCCCATGGGCCGCTACCCCATGTCGGCGATGGGCTGTTCCTATCAGGACCTACGGCGGTCCAGAGATTGCCTGGAGATAAAACATGGTCCCATGGAGCTGCTGGAGCCCCTGGACACCCTCAGTATGGGCGGAGGTGTCCTGTGTGGCTCCCTCGACAGTTTCCCCACGCTGCCCACCTCCACCTTGGAGCGACGGCGCAACGGCGGCGTGGTGACCGGCTGCAGCGTGCATGGCGGCGGCGGCACGCTGAGCCGTGCTGACAGCCGAGCCTCACGCTACGATCTGTCAGAGGAGCGGCGAGGCGGGTGTTGTGGCAGGAGCTGCTGCACCCTCACCCTCTCCCTCATCGCCTGCCTCCTCATACTCAGCGGCGTCATCGTCGCCCTCTACTTCTTCATCAAGAGTACGTCACCACCTCAACCCACCCTCAGTCTCTACCCACCCTCTGCCCACACCCACCCTCTGCCCATACCCACCCACTGCACCACACCCACCCTCAGCCTCCACCTTTTTCATGCCTTACTACTGTCCTCTGTTGCTCACCCTCTACCATATGCATAAAACGTTACACCTCTTGCATCACATACATGTACCGTCACACCTCTTGCATCACATACATGTACCGTCACACCTCTTGCATCACATACATGTTCCGTCACATCTCTTGCATCACATACATGTACCGTCACACCTCTTGCATCACATACATGTACCGTACATGCATCACATACCGTCACACCTCTTGCATCACATCACATGCATACATGTACCGTCACACCTCTTGCATCACATACATGTATGTCACACCTCTTGCATCACATACATGTGCCGTCACACCTCTTGCATCACATACATGTGTCACACCTTTGCATCACATACATGTACGTCACACCTCTTGCATCACATACATGTGCCGTCACACCTCTTGCATCACATACATGTGTCACCTTGCATCACATACATGTACCGTCACACCTTGCATCACATACATGTACCGTCACATTCTTGCATCATACATGTACCGTACATGTACCGTCACACCTCTTGCATCACATACATGTACTGTCACATTCTTGCATCACATACATGTACTGTCACACCTCTTGCATCACATACATGTACCGTCACACCTCTTGCATCACATACATGTATGTCACACCTCTTGCATCACATACATGTACCGTCACACCTCTTGCATCACATACATGTACCGTCACACCTCTTGCATCACATACATGTTCCGTCACACCTCTTGCATCACATACATGTACTGTCACACCTCTTGCATCACATACATGTACGTCACACCTCTTGCATCACATACATGTACCGTCACACCTCTTGCATCACATACATGTACCATCAACTGCTCACATGTTTAACCACTATATTGCACACACACACACACACACACACACACACACACACACACACACACACACACACACACACACACACACACACACATAGCCACTTTGTTCATTTTTCCTTCTCTTTATACTCCTCATCGTGCACTTAGCTTTAACCATCACTGTGTTTGTTTGTATATCTCTCCCCCCGTCCCTCTCCCTCACCTTCCTGTTATTGTTGTTGTGGTGTTTATACGTGCTGCTGTTTTTGTTGTTGTTTGTATGAGTTGTTATGTTGTTTGCTTGTTTGTTTGTTTGTTTACGTGCTTCTCCTTCCCCTCTCTCTCTCTCTCAATGTATTTTTGTCTTATTTATTGTATGTTGTTGTTGTTGTTTATACCCCGCCAGTTCTCTAGTGTGTAATTTAACTTGTTTGGGGTCGAGGATTTTATTTTTGTTTTTTTAGTTTTGTTTTCTCTACTTTTTTTTGTGGTTTTGTTTTGTTTACGTTCGTCCATCGTTCTGCATGAAATTTAGTATTGTGGGTAAATATTTTTCCCTTTGGTAGTGAGTGAGTTGACATTTTTTTTTTTTTTTTTTTTATATGATTGTCTGTTTTTGTGTAGATATGAATGTCTAATGATTATTATATATTTAGTGATGTAGGTATATGATTCTTGGTATTTTATTATTATTAAGTAAATATACCTTATATGTATTATAATTATTTGTATATGTTAAGAGATATTGATGTCATACACCTGGCGTCAGTGTGAAGAACTATTAATACCTCAGTTGGGAGAGAGGAAACAGACTTTGTATTAGACCTCAAAAAATTATTAGGACAAGTATGAATGTTTGTTCCTCTTACACACAGTAGGACCTAGATAGCATGTAATAGTGTACGTATACAGAATATATATATGTGTGTGTGTGTGTGTAAACTGAAAGCCATCTCATAACCCCAGGCTTAATATCAACACACACACATACACAGAGACACAGAGTATTGCCCACAGTCCACTCCAGCCCACAGGGTAATGAGGTATGAAGCGCCCCGTCTCACTCAGTCAACACAGCTCTCTGACTGCCACACACACACACACACACACACGTCATAATAACAGCTCCCAAGCATCAATAACAAAATATACATTCCTTAATAATCCTGGTCTAAAATTAATATCAACCAGAAATTATAATATAAATAACAATGAAAATATTACCACCTGAAAAAAAAAAACTTAAATGATATAAACAGGAATATAAACAAAACTAGAGGTAAACTTAATCAGTGTGACAGGTAGTAAAGGTGAAGGCAGTGTTATAGCTACAGGGTGAAGGTAAGCTGCTGTGGTGATATAAAAAAAAATCCTGCTAATTAACTCCCAGGATTAGTTTAATTACTACCTCTAATCCCTGAGTATTAAACCCAATGTGTTGATAATGTGGGAAATAGGAGGGAGTTCCTGAGGGTATTGGTGGAATAAAGTAGTCGAGCGAACGTTAGTCTGGCGTAGATTTCATGAGTATTTAGGGTACCTGTGCTGAGTTTGAAGCCTGGCGAACGTTAATCTGGCGTAGATTTCATGAGTATTTAGGGTACCTGTGCTGAGTTTGAAGCCTGGCGAACGTTAGTCTGGCGTAGATTTCATGAGTATTTAGGGTACCTGTGCTGAGTTTGAAGCCTGGCGAACGTTAGTCTGGCATAGATTTTTAAGTCTGTACATGTTACACTGGCGTAGATTCCTTCCTTAAACTCTACAGTACGATGACTTAACCCTTTGAGTACGATGACTTCACCCTTTAGTACGATGACTTAACCCTTTGAGTACGATGACTTCACCCTTTAGTACGATGACTTAACCTCTTGAGAACGATGACTCAACCCTTGAGTACGATGACTAAATCCTTGAGTACGATGACTTCACCCTTGAGTACGATGACTTAACCCTTTGAGTACGATGACTTCACCCTTTAGTACGATGACTTAACCTCTTGAGAACGATGACTCAACCCTTGAATACGATGACTTAACCCTTGAGTACGATGACTTAACCCTTGAATACGATGACTTAACCCTTGAATACGATGACCTAACCCTTCCACTACGATGACTTAACCCTCATCATTCTCAAGGGGTCGTCGTCAACGTATAGTCAAGGGTTAATATATCTTAACAGACCAACTCATGAGACTCGGCTTGTACTGTAGGCAATAATGAAATGTTCTCTCTTCATTTATTTTAATTTTATTCATTTTCTACATTGATTCTCTTCAACACACACACACACACACACACACACACACACACACACACACACACACACACACACACACACACACACACACACATTTCTCAGTGTTTGTGTAGGAAATGTTTTATTGGTGTAGAAAACTGGATGTCGAGGCGTATTAGCGTGTGATATGACAGAACTTGTAAACAGTCAAAGAAAAGTTCCCAATACATCAAAGTCTGTCTTAGCGTTAACGTCTGGTCTGTTTACACTGCTGGCATGTAATGACTCGTCTGTTTAGCTACTGAAGAGAAGAAAAATGAATGCAAAATGAATGGTTGGGAAGATGCGATGATGGACAGGTACAGAAGTTATAAACCTTTGTGGATGATGGTTTAAACCTTTGTGGATGATGGTTTAAACCTTTGTGGATGATGGTCTAAACCTTTGTGGATGATGGTTTAAACCTTTGTGGATGATGGTTTAAACCTATGTGGATGATGGTTTAAACCTTTGTGGATGATGGTTTAAACCTTTGTGGATGATGGTTTAAACCTTTGTGGATGATGGTTTAAACCTTTGTGGATGATGGTTTAAACCTTTGTGGATGATGGTGTAAACCTTTGAGGACAGGCTTAACACTTTATGGATGATGGTTTAATCCCTTGAGGATGATAAACCATTGCCCTCTAAGGTTTGATGTAAATACTTTATTACCTTTTAATGATGAAGGACTCAGGTACACAAACTTACCTGAGTCGTATGTAACATAATTTACGTAGATAAGGTTCAATATTTGGGTATGTATATAGTATTAAGATTATATTAAAGCGTATAACTACAAACTAATCATAGATGTGTTGTAAATTAAGCTGAGATTATAGTACCAGTATTGTAGAAAAACAGTCAGGTTGTAGTGAAGGTTATAATCTGGTTGTAACAGATAAAAACAATAATAAACTTATCCTCATTCAATGTTACTCTCAAGATATCAACATATCAGCCTTACCATCAGCGCCATCTGTAAACACTAAACAATCACATCACTACCAACACTCCCTCCCTGGTGGTATTGACTCATAACATGTTAATCTTAAATCAACTCATAAATTAGATCATATCAACATGTAATTAACAGCATAACTCATTCATGTTTTGGTCTATAAGATAAACATTTATATCTAACGGGTGTTTTTGTGGCCATAAACTATAAGATAATGAGATATGAAGGAACATATAATTGGGATGACATTGTTGTGTACATATTCTCGGTCAGCAAGTAATAACAATCCTCAATGTTAAAAATGTTAAATATGATGAGTCTCCGGGTAAGGGTAATGACTAAAGGTGGGTAGAAAGGTAGTTAGTGTAGGATTATGGCCTCAAGATTATGAGGGAAGTGTGTAGGACTGGCCCCAACTGTAAGAGGGAGGTGTGTAGGAGTGTGGCCCCAAGTGTAAGAGGGAGGTGCGTAGGAGTGTGGCCCCAAGTGTAAGAGGGAGGTGTGTAGGAGTGTGGCCCCAAGTGTAGGAGGAAGGTGTGTAGGACTCTGGCAGGGAGGTTCGTAGGACTGAGAGGGTTGATGTATGGCTGAATTTACACGAATATTTGGAAAGGTTTACAGAGAAATATGTGAACTGTGGCGTACTTGAGGTATGAGGGGGGGTGAGTGCCGAGTGAAGATGTATGTGTATGTCTTTCATATACGTGTGTGTGTGTACCTCATGTGTGTATGTATGTTTGTCTTTCATGTGTGTATGCATGTCACGTGTGTATGTATATGATGTATATATCTGTGTATATGTTTGTGTACACTTGTGTTTGCATGCATTTATATTAGTGTGTGTGTGTGTGTGTGTGTGTGTGTGTGTGTGTGTGTGTGTGTGTGTGTGTGTGTGTGTGTGTGTGTGTGAGCAACATTTACGGAGAACAACAGGACATTCTCAACATAATAATTTAGGTTATATATGAAAATAAATACTGTGCACCACTAGGAAACAGTTTAATATGTGTGTACTTATGTATGTGTATGTTCGGGGTTATATATATATTTGTATGAACTTGGGTGGAGTTACAAAAGCGCAAAATAGTTTTGTTTGCTATTTTTACCGTTTCTTTAAAGGAATGTGTGAGTATTTATACCAAGACTCTCCTTGGGGGAGTGAGCGAGTCGCTGAGTTTGATATATTTTACGGCAGTTTTTACGAGAGAGGAGATAAAGTGTTTATACTCGCGTCGTGTTGTGTTGGTCTAACTAAGACAACATCTGGCACTTAAACGTTCAGCCTTTCTCTATATTAATTTCATTATTTGTGTTCGGTTATTTTTATTAAGTGGTTCCAGTGAACGTGATGCGATTTATAGTTTCGGTAAATCGGAAAAGTTAGACAGAGAGATGTACACATGCATGAGTACACGAATGCATATGTGTGCATTCATGCATGATCAGACATATAAAACTTTTTTGTTTTAGGTTTTCAAAATTGCTGAGAGGATTAAATACCCTGTGACCTCCCCAGGGCCCTGTGGTGTTTGGTTAGTGCTGTGTGCGCTACTGTAGCCGGGGTACTTAACTCTAACCACATGTGTCAGGGGAGGACACTGTGTGAACGGTGGTGTCTCCTCTCTCCAAGTGTTAATGACTCCTTATACAGACGTTAAGGAAAACATTAACTGTTGGGGACATGCAGTTATGAACACCACTTATTTGAGGGTTAAAGAGGATGTGTCGGCTGGCAATACTCCCATTAACTTTATGGCCAGCACGAGCAATCAACTGAACCTGGCATTCCCTTCCGCCTGGCAATAAAGCGCTTGTAAAAGCTACACAAGACGAACGTTCACCCGCTTTCTGACAGCAGTGGCGCTATTTTATGGCCCGAACTTATACAACGGAACGGAAAGGAACGCCAGGCGCGGCTTACTGCCAGCACTAGCGTTTGTTTATGTGAAATAACTCTTTCTTCTAGGGCCATACTGGTCATGAAACTCTCACTAATAGGGCTGACTTCATCTCCCAGACCGTCCTGGTCAAGAAAACCTTTCACACCTGTCTAACACATTTCTTGTTTACTGTTGCAGATGTCCCGTATGAGCCTCGGCCGCCCATCGAGGAAGGTGAGTACCAGACCTGGTCGGTTTCTCACTGTTGTTGGTGTTGTGTGTCCTGGGTGTTGATGTAACACATGTGTCGAGTGAGTGTTGTGTTGCAGCTGCTGCTCAACCATGTTAAATCTGCCAGCAAAACTCGGACACACTGACGCCATGGTAAGTTTGGTCAGCTCTCACTCCCTCAAGAGACAACTGCTGATGTACACTTATTAATGATATCATCTCAACCTTACAATAACCTAACCTATCGTGAACATGTGTCGTCGAACCGGAATTGATGTTGTTGAGTTAGTTATGTTTTATTTGGTTATGGATGGTAGTTACACTTATAACTGTGTCCAACTCAACCGTGGAAGTCCCCCCAACGGTGTGGGTGATGGTAGACGTGGTTAAGGGAGGTTAGTGTGGTGACCTGCGAATGTAAATACCACTTCTTGGTGATGTCAGCTTCTACCTTGAGTTAACCTATTTATCCCACATCGGTATTGGTGCTGCTGATATGGTTTATGTTCTATCCAGTTAAAGAAGGTTAGTTTAGCTAAATATGGATGTGAATTATATCATCTAATCATGCCATAATCAACAGTACTATTAACCAAACACCTCATGACTATAGTTCTCTTGATTTAGGTTAGATTTGGTGACTGAAGGTTAGTTTAGGATAAATGTGAATGTACGTCTTTTTCTTTCTTTTTTTTTTTGGCGTTTGTCGTAGGCTCAAGTGTGTAGCGCCAAGAAGCATTTAAGCTGAGAGCCGGGGCCGTGTGCCTCATTGTGTAGGTCTTAGTATGCAGGGGAGACTCACAGTCGAGGACAAAAGCTTATATGTTAAATAGGCAGCCTCTCACAGCCCCTTGTCATACTGGAGACGCGAACCTCCTGAGTCCTGTGCCTAGCTCATGGTTGTGACTGGCGAGTAGTAGTCAAGATGTTATGTATTAATGTACTCTGAGAAGTACTGTCCTCGACTCAGTCTCTCGCTTCGTAAATATTAGATTTTTTTAACTCGGTCTGGAAATATTTTTAGTATTTTTTTTATTTTTTTTTAATGTTTAGTTTTAACGTTTGTCGGTGTGTTAGGTGGTTTAAGGTTTTATTCGGTAAATGAAAAGTGAAATGATAGTTGTTGGTAAAATCTTGGCTTTTAAGGGTTACTCTTGTTAAGCCTAGTGTTGTAGTTTATTTGGTAAATTAACTTTTCTTATTTGAAATTTAGAGCATTTTATAGATATTTTCCTATTATTAAAGTTATAGTTTAGAAAAATAACGTAAAACTCAGAAAAAAATCGTTCAATATAACTTAAAACTTTTAGGTTGTCTTTAATATAATTGTGAATGATTATTTTTTTCAAGTTTATCATAGTGTTACCAGAAGAAAATTACGAATATAGGAGACTGTCACTTAACATAAGATAAACTTGTTCATAACAGATCACAGGACAGGCAGAAACTCTTCACATGCTCCCGGAGTCATCGAATACTTTTCCTGATTTTCAAAGTTTCAAAGTATTTTTTTTCACCTTTTTTTTTTGGAAGTTAGGGGGAATTGCAACCAAGAGGAGTCGTTAATCCTCTTTTTTGGGGGGGAAGTAATTTTTGTTTGGTAGTTAAATCCTAAACTCTTCTATTTGCATCCTAGAATCCTTCCATTATCCACACTTGAACACTTGTGGGTAATGCTATACAAGTGATGGCTTATGTGAGGTGAATTTATGATCGTGCTGCCCCTTGAGTCCTCTACCTCTTGGACACTCAGAGGAGACTTTCACTGATCTTATCCTTACTGTAGTTTATTAATTATCGGTGTTTATAAAAAAAGCCATCCCTTAATTAAACCATAACTAAACCTCACCTGGTAATAATAAACCTTGATAGATATCGTGTAGGTTTAACTGTGATATAAAACACCTGGACATCACAAAATTGTAGATGCTTAATGAACCAACATACAAAATCCAGGTAAATCAGCTTCTACCTGTAAACAATTGTGTACAGACTTTACTTTTTTCATTAGTTTTTTTACGTGTTTTTTTTTTTTTTGGTTGAAATTTATCTTCATGTGAAAGATTTACACCTTAGTACATCACAGGTTAATTAGTTTACTATGATTATTATAAATTAGGTTTTAATGATAGATTTTTTTTTTGTGTTTTGGTTTTATTGTTAACCTTTGAATGAGTCATGTGAACTCGATAAGTCTTACGTCTTTGTGAGTATTGTGAGTGTGTTGTGAGGTTACCCCATGACACAGTACTTCAGTGTTGTGACCTCACGACATGGCAGATTCTTCTCGTTTGTTTTATGTTTACGACACAACAAAACCTTTTACTGTGTTGGTAACTTACAAGACTCTATTGTAGACCATCTTAGTGTTGTGTCAGGGGAATTCACCAGACCTTCAGTGTTGTGTTCTGAAGTCAAGACAAACTCCTCCAGTGTTCTTTGCTTGCGACACAACATAGTCCCTTTAGTGTTGTGAGGTTACGACACAACAAGCCTCACCATGATCTGAGCTAACAAACCCACCTGCTTGTGTTGTAAGGTTACGACAATAAATCCTTACGCAACTTATAAGAATAGTTACGACAAATCAGACCCCTTTTGTGTTCGGAACTCACAGCAACCAAACACTTTCCATGTTGTGAACTCACGACATACGAGAGCCGTCGTTGATGTTGAGTTTACAACATATCAAACCTGTTGTGTTGTGAATCTACGACACAACAAACCCCTGCAGTGTTGTGGGGTTACGACATAGCAAACCCATTGAGGGATTTACTATTATGACTTAGTAAATTGTTGTGTTGTCATGTGACGATCTTATCAACTTACTGAACAGGCGAGTGTGTGTTATGTGTGTGAGACGATAACAATAACAGCATTTTGAGGGATTATGTTAGGTTAGGTTTAGGTTAGGTTAGGTTAGGTTTAGGTTAGGTTAGGTTAGGTTTAGGTTAGGTTAGGTTTAGGTTAGGTTTAGGTTAGGTTAGGTTAGGTTTAGGTTTAGGTTTAGGTTAGGTTAGGTTAGGTTAGGTTAGGTTAGGTTAGGTTAGGTTAGGTTAGGTTAGGTTAGGTTTATTGTTAAAAAATGGGGGCGAGATTGAACACTGTGGCAGGCTGTCGACAATGGGGGTGACTGACGCTATTGTCCAGTGTCCACGACGTGAAAACAATTAAAACAAAAAAAAAAGAATCCACTGGAATTATTGAAATAGGAATTGGCCTTTAAAGAGGTGGGGATATATTTTTTAATCCTTTTGTTGTTAGTTAATGGTGGACAATGATGGTGAAATACACGTTGGTGATAATGGCATTGAGGGAGTGATGATGATGATGATGATGATGATGATGATGATGATGGTTGATGATGATGATGATGATGATGATGATGATGATGATGATGATGATGGTGGTGAGTGTTTGTACCTGTTGAATAGGGGTGAATGTGGTAGTAAGTGTGTGTGAGTAGATGTGGGGATGGGCGAGTGGGTGTGAGGATAGGAGAGGGATAAGTGGATGATGGGCGAGTGGGTGTGAGGATAAGAGAGGGATAAGTGGATGATGGGCGGGTGGGTGTGAGGATGGGCAGGTAAGGCCTAGATGGGTGGATGGGTGGGTTAACTTTAAGAGTGTGAGTGGGTGGATGGTTGTGTTTGTGAGTAGAGGAGAGGGTGGATGAATGAGTCAGAGCGTGAGGGATGGATGTGATGTATACAAGAAGATAAATGTATAATAGTAAAAAGGATAGGATGTATAACAGAGAGAGAGAGAGAGAGAGAGAGAGAGAGAGAGAGAGAGAGAGAGAGAGAGAGAGCGAACTAGATACACGAAATGAATAACTGAATTCAACATATCGATGAATAGAACGAACCACAACACTAAGAATGCTAATGAACAACACCTCCCCAACCCCCCCCTCCCACGTCAAACATCAGTATCTACACCACACTGTTGAGACACATAGTTCACAATGTCCGTCTGTCTCTGTTTCTCTCTCTGTGTCTCTCTAATGACGGATGTTTATGTCAGCTTGTTAATGAATTCGTGTCGCAGTTTAATCGATGGAAGTGCGGCCTTTCAACCTAGTCGTCCAGGAAGTCATGATTGGTCGAGAGGTTCAGCCATTCACGTGTGTTTGTGTGGAGTCGCGCAGGTAACGGATGTATTTTATGTTTATGTCTTAGGTATTGTGGTGTCTTATTGTCTTCCCGTGTGTTCTGTCTTCCCGTGTGTTCTGTCCTCCCGTGTGTTCTGTCCTCCCTACCTGTGTAAATTCCTCACGTTCCTCCTCCTCTTCCTCCTTCTCCTCAACTTAATCCATCATTATTCTTGTGTTTCTCATTCTTGTTCTTGTTCTTTACCTGTTATCTTTCATTCATCTAGTGTCCAATTTTCTTCTTCTTCTTCTTTCTTCCTTCATCTTTCTTCTTTCTTTCTCCTTCTTCTTCTTCTTTTTTTTTCTTCTTCTTCTTCTCTCTTGACTTTTCTCACTCCGTCACTATTCCATGTACTCTTTATTATACTCTACCTTATCATCGTCTTCTTCTTCACCTTCTCCGTTATCGTCTCCTCCTTCACTTCCGTTATTCTTTATCTATATACACCCCTCACCGTATGCCTTCCCGCCCTTACAATCTAAATAAAAAAATATATTCTTACACAGATAAAAATTATTCATGTTATCTTGACTACAAAACGTGATGGAGTATTTCTAGACTACAAAACAGGATGGAGTATTTCTTCACTACAAAACGTGATGGAGTATTTCTTGACTACAAAACAGTATAGAGTATTTCTTGACTACAAAACAGGATAGAGTATTTCTTGACTACAAAACGTGATGGAGTATTTCTTGACTACAAAACGTGATGGAGTATTTCTTCACTACAAAACGTGATGGAGTATTTCTTGACTACAAAACAGGATAGAGTATTTCTTGACAACAAAACGTGATGGAGTATTTCTTGACTACAAAACGTGATAGAGTATTTACAGTATAGTTTCCT